GTTGCATCTGCGTAGTGAAAAACCTAGATGCTGCAAATGCCCTGGCAAGGGGTTGTGATGATCCACGTTTTGTCCTTCAAAGTCACATCCTAGTTCATCCACTTGTGAAAAATGTGCGTCGGTAAACTTTTGCTCTTTGTGGGCGCTGTGACCATGCATGCGTATTGTACCTCTCATTGTGGCTAGGGTGGCTTAAGGTGTGAATGGAGACTTGTTGTGAGATTTGGACACGTGACGTTGGAATCTATCCGCTCTGTGTGCCAGTGTAAGTGCCAGCTTTGACCGGCATTGGTTAAATCAACTCTTCAGGCATGGCCGTTCGGAAGGCGCAAGACAAGCAGGAAAATTGCATGGAACCATCCTTAGGGATTCCCTTTCCCGCTTCTCCTTGGTGGTTTCCTGGTTGTGGCCTCCGGTTGCGGCACTCGAGCTTCGAGCAAAGTGGCCCGCACACTCGCACATTGCGGGGAGTTTGGTCCAGCTTCCAACAAATTCCACTCTAAACACCATTATCAAAATTTTGATTTGCCACGACAAGCCTTGTGATAGGAAATGTGAATTTGCTCTGGTGCTTCTTTTTCAGCCTGACAGGTTGGTGGGGACCACAAGGATTACAGGGGGTTTCTGGCTTTCCCAGGACACAGGAAGTTCGTTTTTGCGAGCAGGGTTGGGGTTTGCCGAGCTGCTTTCTCCCATTCACTGGTTGGGTAGTTAGTTAGGTAGTTCAACTTGGATAGGCTGTGTCGTTCCTCCATAAAACGCAAGAATCCACGACATGTGGATGTGAAGTTGGCCAAGAACATGTCAGCCCCAGTGAAATGTGCTGGGCGGCCAAGTGATCAGAGTAACCTGTTTGGCGATGAATGCCACTATCATCCTGCTGCTCCACGGCTCAATTGGAAATGGTTCACTGTATGCGACTTGAAGGAGTCCTTCCTCCTGAGCATGCCGCCCATCCAAGTTGGTGTTTGCAGGCCTTTTGCTCCTGGAAGTTTCCTCTTTGCGCGCCCGGCGCGCAGCTGCGCAAAGGTTGCTCAGGGTCGCCCAGTCCGGCGCTTCGGACGGTGGGTCGTCCCCCAACAACGGCTTGCCAATGCCACGGCTCCCTCTGATCCGCACCGTTTGGGTTTCCTCCAGAACAGCGCCGCTCGCACAGTTCTTAACCTCACTTGTGGCGGAAGGCAAGCCGCTACTATCAATTCTTGCAGGCTCGAAACTTGCCTTCCTGAACTCGCAGAACAAAAAGTCAGACCTCAATGCAGGACACAGGTCAAAGTGCAAAACACATATACGGTGCGGCCTCCCAAGTTTCAGCAATTGAGATATATGCCTTCATGCTGGCGGGCGCAATTTGCACGCATCACGTAACATGTAAAGTTCAAAAACTGCAAGAATCGAATGCGTTTCGGACACGCATTTGTGGTCGCACCTTGGCTCTCTTCGTGTGCAGCGGCCCAATGGCGGAGGCCCCTGACATGTCATGTTTGTCCGCCCTTGTGGCCTTGTTGTTTGTTTGTTTCCTCGAGCCTTTTGTGCGGGCCAACTGGGCTGAATCGGGTTGGGTTGTGGACCCCGCTAGCATCAATATCTTTTACAAAAAATTTAGGGCCCATCACCACGCAAACAGGGCGCTTGCCGGGTTGGGCGGAAGCCGTGTCGGCCACGCAACTTGCGCGGCGGCAAAGTTCGTGTTGACGTTTGACGAATAGTTCTTATTGCTGGCCTTGCCAACCTTGCTGTGGTTGACCCTTGACAGGGAGACATTTTTCAACATTCACGCTTGCTCCAAATCCATTCAAGTCTTGGTGCACAACCCGTCTAGCAGACATGCAATTTTGCATTGCGCCCAATGGGGTTAACTGAATGGAACCGCTTGTTTGTGGAGGGCTGCAGCAGCACCCGGCGTCGGCACCCCCCAGAGCTCTTGCCACAAGAAATGTCGTTTAGTTGACGACCCAACGGCTCTCAGCAACAATGGTGACGGTGCTGCATGAGCTCCTTTTGCGACTCGGCTGTTCAGCAGGGAGACAAAACGTCAATCACCACCTTGATCAAGCAGCTTCTTGTCACGGCCAACAAACGCGCTGCTCTCCAGGATGTTGATATGTCCTGGCTTGGGCCACCACCAGTCAGACAGAGTACGCCATCCATCCTGTAGCGGGAGGTTGTCAAGGACAACGCTCTCAAGCCTGGTGGGGCTCGAACTTTTTTCTTTGAGCGGCTTGGTGCGGGATTTCGCGAAGCACTGTGCAACCTGTTCAGCAACGCCAGGGTGATAGACAGCGGCGCTTGCCTTGGTTAGCTTTCTTTCAATTCAAATATGCGGATGTCCACCAGGGCAAGGTACTTTGAACATGTGCATGCCTAGGTCCCACCCCAATAGTTGCCAGAATTTTTTTGTGAAGGGAACCCAAGGCACAAGAGTTCAGGATAGCTTCAAGGAAGCCAAGGCAAGGGTGTCTCGAGAAGTGAGGGAGTGCCGCACCGCCACGCAAACCAAAAGATAGCGAAACTCCGGAAGGCGAGAAGGTTCCCCAAGAATGTCTTGCGATCTTTGCTGTCAAACTTGATAGGACCGATGCACGATGTTGTACTGCTCACAAACAAGGCGCTTGATACGTTTTTCCTTGATCATTTGAAAGATCCAGTCGACCAACTTCTGGTCCCGATGTCATGATGAGGGCTGTGAGAAAGGTCAGTTGGAGTGCGAAGCTGCGACGGCCCCGGGGGGAGCTTTATGATTGCCCGTGATGGTTGGCTCCTCATCACGATCGTGGCCGACTGTTCGCAAGACAGCCCTTGCAGGAGGGACTAGCATGGTGTAGGCTCCTTTCTGGCCATCCCCAAGCCAGAGCAATTCGGAGAGCTCTATACACCAATTTTCTTGGCGGTAACCGCTCCTTTTCTGTTTGAGGCATCGGTGGCTTATATGTATGCTCACCGTAGGGTACCGAGATGTCAGCTGCACAAGACCAAAAACGCTAGCTAAGACCAACTCTTTTGCAACTGGGCTAGGCAACTGCAGTGCCTCATTGCCATCATTGGCGGTTTTGGTTCCAAAGCTGAAGCGGTCAGAGGGCACACAACAGAGGCACCTGCGGCACATGAGGTTTGATTTCCCGCTAATCGCGAAGCCAAAGTCTTTGTGATGACTGGAGGTGGGGCAGCCCCGGAAATGAAGTGGCGTAGAATGCAGTCCCGTGGTTGACAGGGGAACTCAAACCGTAACAGTCGGCAAAGTTCTTCAACGGGTTGGTTCCCCAAGGCCAGGGCAGCGGCCCCCCACGCCGAGAACCTTTTCAGAGGGCCACGTATCTGCCAGTGACCTTACATGGGAGGTCGTGCCCCAGTTTGTGTACTGTTGCTGGTATGCAGTCACCTCTGCCGCGCAACTTCGGCAACATGGATGGGCACCCTCAAGCCGGGAACAGTTGGCTAGGGGAAAAGTGCGACCGGTGGCAACAACCAGCCACACCGCTTTCTGCACCGAAGTGCTCCAGTCCATCCCCCGCCAGCCAAGCAATGTTGGCCCGCCCATTCACAACCATCCCCTACCATCCCAACACCACTTACCCCACACATTTGTTCCGCCTGCTGCTCCTGCGCCGTCTGCGGTTGCCACTTGGCTTGACCGCACGCCAGTGCCGGTGCCATCGCACTCTTGACCCCTTCGGCGGCCACCGGGCTGCGTGCCCCCAAGCGGGAATCTTGCGAGGCAGAGGTGTTCCATTGGAACGCGCAGCGGCCACGATCTGCCGAGAAACCGGGGCCCGGGTCACCACCCATACCCGCGTTGCGGACCTCAACATTGACCAGCTCCACCGCTACGATGACCGCCGAATCGAAGTCATTGCAAATGGCTTGAACCTGTGGGGTGGCCCCCAATTAGCCGTTGACACCACTTTAGTGTCCCCCCTCACTCGGGACGGACAGCCCCGCACACATGCAGGCACCTACCGGGGGGCAGCCCTGCACGCAGCACGACGGAGCAAAGAACGAACATACCCAGAACTTCTGGCGACCCGCCGGTGCAAGCTCGTCGTGCTCGCCATCGAAGTCGCGGGGAGGTGGAGCCAAGAAGCAGCCACCTTCATCCGGCCCTTGGCTGCGGCCAAGTCCAAAGCCGGCAGGCCCCCGCACTCCTGCAACCAGCCATCCTAACCGCCTTGTTCCCCAGAGTTTTGCAGCCACCCTCCTCACTGAAAAAAGATTCCCCCCCCAGCACAACGTCGACAACAACTCCCTTTCCGTCAGCCAATTGCTCGCGGAATCCCCACTGAGTCATTGATGGTTCAATTAAACCCGCCCCTGCCCCCACTTGATTTGATTTTGAAATACAGACCCCGTCCCCATGAAATTGATTTTTAAATTCAGACACCCTCCCTGATTGCACCAACCGCCGCTCCAACCCGCATATAGATTTGCAACCCTTGTTTGCGCCCACCGCCGTTTGCACTCAATCACGCTTCTGTTTCTTCTGTTCTTTTCCGCTGTTCTACTTTTCCTGGCTCCTTGTTTTCAAGCATGTTTACGAGTGTTTCGGACGGATTGTGGGCCGGTGTAAGGTTGGATGATACGGAACCTAACATGGCAGTCTTCCCTTCCCATGTTCCACGCATCGGTCTTGGTAGTGTCCTCAGTGCCGTTGGACACTCGGATGGTATTTTTGCGCGGAAAGCAAGGCTAATTGAGGCTTCGGTCTTGGATGGTCGAATTGAATCTATTTTTTCGTTTTCGCACGTGCATACTGAGCAGGAAAAACAGGCGACGGTTTGCTTGTAGTTGACCTGATGATTTCACAAGTGGCCTGGGACGTTCGTATGTGTCTTGCCGCTGGTTGAGTAGCAATGTAAGGTTGAGCAACAATGTAAGGGGTCCTCGGATCAGCGCTTCGAAGGGAAACGGCTGAAGGAAGGAAACAACAAATTGGATCTCAGAGGGCTTAAGTTACCAGCGCCACTTGATTGGAAACCACTACTGTTAAAAAAACACATTGTTTGCTCATGGTAGGCGTAGCCAAGACGAATTTCGGCAAGACGGCACGACTTACAGTATACAGTATGTGCTTGTAGTCTGTGGAAAGCACGCGTGACACAGAACACCCGTCAGGATTGCAGTTGACATGTGTTCACTTCATGCCATGATCCTCGATGGTTGACATGGCCAAACCATCCATTTGGAGCATCGAGGCAGGCCTTTTTGTATGCTCTTGATTGTTTGGCGGCACTGTTTCATCAACTTGTTGTGTTGGATGTGAATGTCAACGCTGCGGGTTGTTTTGTGATTGTCGCGGTGCCCTGTCAAGGCCACTTGTCCAAGAACAGTTGCTCGCCAGGACCCATGCAGTGTGCGCCGGAGTCAAAGTCACCTTATTCTTTTCTGGGAGGCGGAGCTGGCATTGCACCAAAGTCAATGTGCAACATGCGCCCGTGCGAGTTTGAATTGGTTTTGGACTTGCGTGTGAATTTGGAGTTGGGCAGATTGAACGTGCACCACTAGGTGCATTTGTTTTGATGAACGCCTAATTTTGTGAACAGGTGGCAGCACCAAGGACAGGGTTCGGGGTAAGATGGGTTTTGGTGTGTGGTACCATGTGGTTTCGTGACGAGAAAAGAACGGTAGAAGCGGTCAAGAAGCGGTAGACGTAGCGATTGGCGGATCTGGTCAGTTTCTCCGCCGATGCCGGGGGTGCCGTCCAACAAAAATCTGTCTACGACACCCCGGATGATAACCTCAACCCCCAGAGTCTTCGCAAAAACACCTCACCGGCGTGTGGAGGATCCGGGCGCGTGAGTTCCTCACGGTGGATTTGTCCAAGAGATCCTTGGCCACGTCCTTTCAGGCGGAGCAGGCGCACGGGCCGGCCGCTGGCCGCGCAGATGCGGAGTGGGGGGGTATTTTTCCAGGTGCTTCGGGACAAAGGCAACAACCCAGTCGTGACTTGAAGTTATCCCCGGCTGCTACTGCCATATTGTTTTAAAACCCCCTTTGTGTTTGGTTGTTGTTGTGTTGTTGCCAGTGGATGCACCCATCCACCCTTGACGTGCGTCAGGAAGTGGTGGAACATGACTGTGGGCACCTAGGCGTTGAAGAACCGGTTGTAAGTTGTAAGTGGTATCCAACAACTGGGGTGGCCTTCTAGAGATTCGCTGAGACGTTTTCAACGCCAATGATGCTTCCAACGTTTGCAATGACAACACGTGGGTTTCCACTGTGTCGCAACAAAATGTTTCTGAGGTATTGCTTGGCACCTGGAGAGAAGAGATGTTGCGAGTTCCAAGAAGAAGGCACAAGTTAGAAGACGCGCGGACATTATATTGCAGACAAGCAATGGCTTGAATGTGTATCGAAAAATTCCTGGAAAACTTCGCCCGAGGTAGTTGTCAGACGTGCTGCGCGGAGCACTACACGGAACCCTACTGCATGTTGAATTGCCAGAAGAGACTTGGCCATGTCAAGCAGTGCGAAACGGGCTCGCGAAAGGTCCTGCAGGGGCCATCACGAGTCTTTGATGACCGCATTTGTTCGTGTTTCACCAGGGCGTGCCACTCATTTTTCTCTTTTCTTTTGGTGCAGTTCATGCCTCAGGATGTGCCGGCGAGGCATGTTTAAGGCCTTTTCGGGTGGCAAGAGGAATGTGCCGGTCTGCCCCAGCAGTGGCCCTGTGAAGGCTGGCGTCCCTGCGCGGTCGTGACAATGACCGAGGGTTGAACGTTGACAGCATTGCGCCCCTTCATTTGGAGTCGCGGTGTAGCCGATGCTTTGCGGGGCTGACCTAGTGTTGGGTCTTTTTGTGTGTGTGTTTGCTGACCCTTCCTTTGTTTGGAGATTGCGGTTTGTGTTCCTGTTTTCCCCGCCTGCCTCTGCGCCTTCTGGCGCCAACGTTCGGTGTGGGGTGCCAGGCCCTCGAGGCCTACGACTTGGAGAAGGTGGATGACCCTCGGCAGCACGTGTCATACAACCACCTTGTAAAATCAAGACTGGTCGGATGAGTGAAAGGGGCGGATGAATCATTTCTCGCTGGTTGGCACGCACTTGACTACTGGACCCTTTGGACACCAAACGCCACGTTGATGGACTGTTGCATCGGACCCACTTGCCACTTGCCACTTGCGCTCCATGCAGCCACGCGTGGCAAATCCCCACAGCTGAGGGGAAGTTTCTGAACCCCTACTTGGACTGGAAAGGTTCCAAATTTGAGAAGGACAGGGTCCCGAGGGTCCGGAGCCTCGGTGCACGGTCGTTTCCTAATGTTTGGGGCACCCATAAACATCTATAAACCCATAAAGAAACCGTTTTGCAACTGAACGCGTTTCGCAACTAAAGGCCTCCATTTCGCAAGTTAGGATTTGCCTGTTTTCGCTGTTGAAAGGGCGCCCTCTGCCTGCCGGGGGGCGGGTGGGTTGCGGAAACAGGCAAGTCCACAACTATTGCAATTAGCGGGTCACCATTCTGTGGTTAAGTCCGGGCCTGGAAGAATCCTCTGCTGGCGGGGCTCCATTCCCACCGAAACACCATTATCCGTGGGTGGCCGGGCGTGGGTGGCACGAGCGTGACATGTTTTTGTGCGGCGACTGATGTGTATGTATGGTATGGTATGGTATGGTATGGTACGGTAGGGTATGGTATGGTATGGTATAGTAAGGTAACGTAACGTAACGTAACGTAACGCAACGCAACGTAACGTAACGTAACGTAATGTACGTGTGTGTATTCTGTTTGCATGCGATGCATTTTCAAGAGGGAAACCCCCAAAATGGGCTTGCAGGGGGGCCTCGTTCAATGGGAGGTCTTCCCATTTTAATGCACTCTGACTCACTAACATGGAAGTGGAAGGATGGTCCCTTGGCAGACTGCTCTCCTTTACGAACAGGGGGTTTCCCACTTCATGTGATGTGTTCGTCGGAGTGTACGCATCCACTTGTCTCAATCCGCTTTGACCATTGCCTGAGAGGAGTGGCTCGAAACCCATCCCCTGGAGCTGCCTGCTCCAACGACGTCGGAGCAATGACCTCCGGCTGCGGCGAGTGCGGCGATCAAAAGCGTGATTTTAGATTCATTTTTCGGGAAGGTTGATGAAGGTTAAGGCCTTTTCGAACAGCTTTTTGGGGGTCTGGAGCGTCGAATTGGAGTGTTTTCTTCTTTTTCTCTTCTCTGTGCGGCGAGCGGGCACTGTAGGGTTTTGACACTTTTTGAGCAGCTTGCTTCAGGCAGATGGTGGGTTGTGGCATGTTTTTGGGTGGGGCCATTTCAGCTTCGAAGTTAAGAGTGAACCAGTTGCACAGTTGAAGATAGGGATGATTGCAAGCCAGTGTAGCCAGCTCACACGATGGGCCTATTTGCCAGCCACCCACGCACTGAACCCGTTTTTTTTTGGGTATTTTGATAGCATGCGTCGAAGTCAATCCAGTGTTGGAGTGGTTTGGTTGCAGTTTGCCCAAGACACCACACCACCAACCCAGCGCAGACATCCCTCGAGTATATAGTCAAAAACAGATTTGCATTGCATTCCCCATGGATGCGTCCTTGTTACTAGTAGCTTCTTGTTCCTAGAAGTAAGGCCAGGAGCCCCTAGTAGCGTCCTTGTTCCTAGTAGCTGCCAGGAGCCCCGATCGTAGCTTTGTCTCTATACGTTTCTTCCCAATGGATGCGGCTGCTTTGCCGGACGTGGCTCCTCCCCGCGTGCTTCGCAGCGGCTGTGCCTTCCCCGCCCAGCAGCGGAGCGGCCTCGGCGGCACCGCAGGCGTTTTGGGCGTGGCTGCGTGGCTGACGGATTGGAGTGGCTAGGGCGGCTGGGTGATATGTATGCGTTCGTGACGTATGCCTTTAGGCTTCATTGCTGACCATCATCGTCCATAGAAAAGACGGGTGCAAACAAGGTCCAACATGGCTGCCAGGCTTTAACCCTGACTTGGGTGCCAAGTGCCAAAGGCCCCCGAGAGCATGTTGCATAGTTGGGTGGGCGTTGCACGTTCACTTTGGGAGTGAGATTGGCAGGATGCTTCGAAGGATTTCGAAGGGAAGGGAATCCTGGCGTCGTGTCAAACTCACATGACATACGAACTCTGATAGCTTCTCGCTGCCTTTAGGGAGGTCTAGCAGTGCAAGGTCCAAACCCAAGTTAGAACCCCACAAAGAGCACCAGCACTGAATAACTTGAGCCAGGGGACATTTTGCACTGCCATCCGATACACGGTTCTCATGGCTCCGGAGATGCCCCTCCCTGCCATCCGTCGTGGAAGTCGTGCGCACGCGGTTTCGTTGGTCCGGCATGCCGGATCGTGGACCTCGTCGTCGGCTCGAGGTTGGTGGACGAGGGAGTGCTGGACAAGAGCTACGTGGATTGGGTGAATTGCGATACCCAAGCTCACAGCGTGCACGGCAGCGCTGCTTCCAGCGCGGATCCGGGCACAGGAAGTCCATGGACGAAGTTCCGAAAGCTTCTGGTGCTCAGGTCGCACCGTTTCTGACCTGATCTCCTTTCTCGGTGGAGGCTCCCCAAATGCTCAAGAAGAAGCGGGGATAGGAGTAAGGACCGCGGTTTTGGATGCAACAAGTTCATTGGCGCGCGCGTGTTCCTGGGAAAACGATATGCAGACGATCACCTAAATTGTCATACCACTACCTTCCTTTTGGTTTGCCCTGTGGGGCCAGGGATTGGTAGGTATCGATTTTGAGAAAACATGACATCAGGAAGGATCTCACTACACCATTTCTCTCATAAATTTTGGCTAGTGCCCACCACGCAACAATTAAGTTAATCCCTTTCAGAATGTATTGGGAAGCTCTTCGGGGAACTGAAACCACCTCACAAGAATGAAGTTTTGACACGAACTTCATGGCCTTGGAACGCTCAGGTGCAACATTTGGAGGAGGGTCGTTGGAACTACGGCGAGCCGTCAGCCTGGGTGGTGACCCCCAGCCATTGGACCCTCATCAAGGAGGCAGGATCGTCAGTGTCGAAGATAGAACGAGAAAGATCCTAGTTGAGTGTTGCCATGCGTGGTCTTGAGCTAGGAGTGTTTGTTCTTCTGTTTTTTTTTTTTTGGGGAGTCAAGTTGAAGAAGCTCAGAAGTTCTTGGACGTGACATTGCCTTGTACCTAGCTCTTTGGGGAGCTGAGGAAGCCCCATGCAATCATGGACTCGGGATGAGTCTTTGGGACAACTTAAGCGGCTTACGGCTTAAGCGCATAACCTGACTGTGGAGCGACGACATACTTCATTTTGAGGGGACTTTGTGCTGGGAAAAAAGATGGACACAGTATAGGTAGGCCGTCAGGTGGTGGTTTTTGGGGAGCTTCTTGGTGCATGCTCGGAGGAGACCTGCTGTAAGAGAGCGTCTTTCTCTTACTGTGATGCTATGGAATTGTTTTGCGGCCTCTCTGTCTGACTCAATTTTACTGGGCAGGCAGAGCTGTGCAATGTTACTATTATATACAGCAGGGGCAAGAAGTTACTTTTCTGAGGGTCATTTGTTCCCGATGACCGACACTTGTTGGAAATTTGACTTGCTTGCCACATGGCCAGTACACCAATGGAAGACAGGAAACCTCGATGGTTTCCTCGTCGAGTCCCTACATATGTCTCGTCCTCTGGTGTGTGGCGACTCCGGCTATTCAGGCTGAGCTCTTGGTGGAGCTCTGGAAACAGTATGATCTCAATGCAGCTGAGCATCCAAGAGTGCGAGAAGAGAAGGGAGGGAAAAACACACCTGGTTGCGGAAGAGATCAAAAGAGCCTTTTTTAAACACTTCTTCTGACTTCTTCTAGTGCCTGGTGGGACCATCAATGGATCAACCCAGAGTTGGGCCCCCTGCTGCGTGGTTGGTGGCGTTTAGGCAGGGAGGAAACGACCTCAGTCTGGGCTTGGACGAATAAACCACCTGGCCTTTAGTATCAGGACCTCAAACAGCAAACAGCATCCCCGTATTCCCAATACTGCAGGCCATTTCCATCATTTTTCATTTTGCCAATTTGGGTTGTGAAGATGAACGATGCGAGGACTATTTGAAGATGCACGTCAATGGCCTCCCTGGGTGGTTTGGCTTCAAACCTCGGCTGTGTCTCTTTCACTGTCCGAACAGGTGGCCATGATCCGAAGCCCACAAACAACAGAGGAGGGTTCATTTGGCGGTTCTCCACTTGCTGCACCAAAGCATCCACACAAACCACATCGACACCTGGCAGAATCTTCCGACTCCGCTTGGCCGACTCACTTGCTGAGGTGAGGGTGGAGAACCTCACCCTGGCGGAGCACATGGCCTCCGCCAAGCGCACCTCGCTACCGTCACCAGCGGCGATCATCAAGGGGGTGCCTTCGGTCGAGGTGACGGGTCGCTGCCGGAGGAGGGACCGGAGCGAGCGGGCGGAAAGGGCGATGAAGGAGGTGGAGTGCTTGGAACAAGCTGGGGGGGGCACAGCTTCTTGTAGGAAGGGAGATGATTGCCAAGTACAGAGGGGGGGGAAGGATTTGTGGAGAGCCACGGTTTGGTGGCCCTTGGATCTTGGATGGACCAAGAAGTCAAGAGACCTTTGACCGCAGCGGCTCCACCGACCGAGCCATGGATCTTGGCTCGGACCGGCCGGCCGTGTGTCTTCGGACGGTCCCAGCGGGTCCCGGCCCGGTGGACTGAGGACATGGTGGCCTGGATCATTCAGGATCACCTATACCACTTGAAATCTCCAGGTGCCTCGGTCGCCTGGAAATGGCCGAGGCCAGCCATCATGGCCGAGGAGCAGGGAGCGGGCTGATAAAGCAGGGAGGGACTCGCGCCGCACTGCAACTGGAACTCGCCGCACTGCTGCGAGTTTTTCCAGGGTTTCGCGAGTTCCATGCCGAGGTTCGCCGAGCGAGTCCTTCGCTGGCGGCTGCCTGCAAGGGCTCATGGCGGCCTTGGGGGTCTTCGGGCGTGCGCTGCATGTGCTGGGCCAAAGTCCCACCATGAAGGTGTCTGGTCAAGAAGATCGACTCTCCGATTTAACTGTGGACAAGGGTATAGCTTGGTATGACTCTACCTGCCCAATCACGCTAGCGACGCTAGATCGTTCCTTTTTCAAGCTGGCTTGGTGGGAGGTCTTTGATTTGAAGGGTTCGGCCCATCACACGGCGGTTGCTATGCATTATGGTAAGATATAGAGAGTGCAGTTCTTCTCCTCCCCCTTTGGGGTTGAGGACAAACAAGGCTTCTGAAATGTCAGTATGGCAGAGACGACTCAAAACGGATGGGTACGGGTGGCAGGTTTTGATCCCCAAAAGCAAGTAGGGGAAGATCCCTTACCTTTTAGCTCTTGGAGCGCGGTGAACTGATGGTCAGGACAGCCACATATCATGACCCCCTTCTGTGAATCATCCTGGCGGTTTTGCACATGTCTCAGTCAACATGTGGATGGTACTGAACCCCCTTCAAACCAAGATGCCCTCCAAAGTTTGGAGCCATGCTTGGGCCAAATATTGTACCACATTGTGCTACCAAATTCAAACACAAAAGCTGTTCATAGAGGGTCCCTTCCAGATCTGTGATGGCAGGAGAAGTCTTCATCGTTGACTATAGTTCCTTCACTTGGGACACGTGAGTACACGCAACATCGGATTTGATGGGGTGGATGGACCACGACACCGGGTGGACCGCGGGAGGACCCTCGCCTCGGACGGTGAGTCAGGTGGGCGATGAGGACGGCTTCCTGCTGTGGCGCCTCGAGATGGGCCGCTCGGAGCACCCGAAGAAGCGCAGCGGGCGCGCTGCTCGTAGAAACGACCAGCATCCGAAGGTCAGAAGTGAGAGCTGCTACTGTAAGAAATGGTCTCCGGGTAATCTGACCTCGCGCTTCAAGGTTTCCGGAAATCATCCTGTTCGTAGAGCTCAGCAGTTCGCAGTCGCAGTTGCCATGCCCTCCGAGCCATGAACGGCTTGACCTGGGACGAGGGTCGGACCCGTCGACGGCGGGGGAATCCGCTGAGCCTCTGAGGATTCCTGATAGCTGGAATGCTGCTGGGGGAAGGCTTGAGCTTGCTGGACCTCACCTCCGCACCAGGTTGGCCTGGATTGAATACACGCCCCCGGGCACGGACGCGGTTGCGTGGAAGTGGGTGGGCAACTATATATAACTATTAAGATCGATTAAGTAAATGCTTCCAGCTATGCAACTATCAGGGCGTTGCGTGCAGCCTCGGGAGGAGAAGTCAGGTCAGCTGCCCTTTCAAGAGGGAACAAAAAACGGAACAGTTGGAGTTCCACTCTCCAAAAAGACGTAAGTCGTCGCCCTGGGACGACTGGCCCTCCCGTCCAACCCGAGCCCGAGCCAAGGCTTCTTCGAGCAGCTGCTCCACCGCCCCCTGAAGCCGGGCGACTTCAACCTCCCCGCCGGCCGTGCCGAGGAGACCGCCGTGCTGGGTGCGCCAGTGCGCACGGCAGACCCCAAGCCCACGCGGATGCCGGTGCCCGAGCGCCTGCACTGTGCCACCGACCCCCAGGGCGTCACTAGCTGGGGGAAGGTGGCCAATGCGCGGATGGCGGCCAGGGGGCATGCGCTGCGCGTGGCCACCGAGAGTTTGCCTGCCGGGGTGCCGTTTCCTTGGAGGCAGCTGGGGTTCCCCTACCAGGTGCCAAATGAGGTGAGAGAGCCCTTTGTGCCAGGGTGGGCGAGACAGGTGAGGATGTTGTCCATCATCAGCAACCATGGCGCATTGGATCTGGAAATTCCCGAGTTGCTCCGACATCTTTTCCCCCAGTGGCTTGATGTGCGGTTTGTGCTGGGTGGCTCGAGTCAGGGGAAGATTTGCGAGAAGACCGACGCAAGGCAGTGATAGTTCGTTCAGAAACATTTTTTGCTCCTTGTGCATTTGTCCTGTCACATTGCCCGGATTTCCACCTGGCCCCTATGGCCTGGAATCATCGTGGACATAGTGGCCTACCAGCTAGGGCAATATGAACTGTGGTTGTCATATTTTGCGACGGATGACATTTTGCTAAACTTTGACCATGCCCGTGGTGGACATGGTCGTTTACTTTCTACAGCTCTGTCTTCCGTCGCTCCACCGAGGAAGGCTCCACCGTGGTCGACGCCCTCTGCGCCCGCCGCGCGGCCTCGCGTCGCCGCGCGGCCACGCGCCGCGCGCG